CATTTTAAATTTAACTTTTATCATTGTTATTTCTTACTTAATTTATGATTTAAGATTTATGATTATGATAATTTAAAGATTAAAGATTTTTAAGGCATTTCAAAATGTTCAAATCAGCTCGGGGTTTTTTTTTTCTCCGGATTTCTGTCTTTGATTTCAAACTTCCCTCATTTTTTCATTGATTTTCAGTGCTGATTTTCAGAACCAGACTAAAAATTACACATGGTGATAATAACTAAATTTGGATTATATGTAATTTGCAGTCTGGTTCTCTAGCTATGCAGCTTGCAAATTTTCTATCGACTGTGAACTTGGACCGTCCCAAATGTTCGATTTATTGGGTCGGACCAGTAGCTTTTACTCAATATAATTTTGATTTATTGGTTTATCGTTAATTTTTTTTTTTGTTTTTTTTTTTTACTTGTTTACCTAATAACCCGTTTCTTCAGTTACTCGTTAACTTTTTAGATCTACTTTATGCATATAATTGTTAATTTGTCTTTTTTATCTACTTGAGGTAAAGAAATTTGCTCATTCTACTGGAGTTTTGTTTTGGAAATTAGATGTTTGATATTTTATGCTGAGTTGGGCCCCTTCTCCTCGATTGAGGAGTAGAATCTCTTAAAGAGAAAACTTAGAAGAAAATTTTGATCTAAAGTTTATGATGGTTTTTAAAGGTTTTTTTATGATGATGATTATTGTGATTACGATTTATGATTTAGATTTGTGGTTTATGATTATGATGATTTAGGGATTAAAGATTTTTAAGGCCTTTCAGATTTTATCAGATAATTTTGGGTTTTTTTTTCTCTCCGGATTTTTGTCTTTAATTTCAAATTTCCCACATTTTTTCATTGATTTTCAGTATAACGCTAGCGATATTGTTAACAGTCATGCATCACATATAGTGCAAGCAATCGTACAACTGCTGGAACGATGCCCGCATGAGAATTTCATAATGCGACGTGAGCTAATTGGAACAATGAAGAATATTTTTGCTTCGGATTTGCAATCAAAATTTATCCCAATTATTCCAGTACTTTTCAATGAAAATCTGCTCCTGGGCAGTGGCTTCTCATGCGTCGATTTGTTAAAGTAATTTTTTCATATTTTTGATTTATTAAAATAATTTCGTGTAATTTTTTTCGTATTTTTATGCGTTTTGTGCTGTGTAACAGCAGTACAAAACGCATATTGTCACGGAGTTGTTTGTGTGTGTGTGTCCGCAGCAACTTGTCCGCAACTTTCAACTCGGGAACCACAAAAGCTAG